AAAAAAAAAAAAAAAAAGTAAGAGAGAGAAAAAAGAAGTAGAGTTTGTCTGGTTGGAGCTGGTGGGCCCCACTACATTTACCTTTTTTACCACCTCGGTAATTTTCTCTCTCTCTTCCTCCAATTATTACCATCGCTACGGATGTTAAGTTTTCGAGACGGAATGGTTTTCTGGTTTCTGTGTCTTATTTCAATTCTCATTTATATAATTTATTTATATAATTTATTTTCATTATAATGAATAGAAATTAAATTCTTTATAATAATTTTCATTCCTCTCTTCATATTATTATTTAGTTTTGTTCCAAATTTTAATTTAATTTAATTATTGTTATTAAAATTTTAAAATATATATTGTTTTTGTCATTACTTTTTAACGAATTGAATTATTACACATAATATTTAAAATTTAGAATTTAGTCTCAATGTCCGTACAAACACGCAGGTCCAGGCTCAGAGGTCGGCTTCGCAGCGGCTTAGCTAGCCGTAGAAGAAAAGAGAGAAGAATCTCACAGAATACCTCACCGGCGGGTGATTTTATTCTTTCTCCATTTTTGTCCTTTTCTTCCCTTAACCTGCTTTTCAAACTTCAAATCAGAACCCCTCTCCTTCTCCATTTGCTCCGAAATTCCGACCAGTGAGCTCCATAGCCGCCGTCAAAACCCCACTCTCTCCACTTTTTGACCAAAATCCCATCTCCGATCTCTGGTTTTTCCTCAAAAACCCCTCCAATGGAAGCCACAGCACCACCCAAATCCCCATTCCCAGACCCTTCTCAGCCGCCCACCGCCTCCCCTAACCCCCATTCCAAGAAAACCTTCGTCTCCTCTCTAATGGAGGCCGCCACTCTCCGCTCCCCTTCTTTCAAAGAAGACACCTATTTCATTTCCCATCTCAAATCCTCCGAGAGAAAAGCCCTCCAAGACCTTAAAGACAAACTCTCCGCCGCTACCTCCACCGCTACCTCCGCCGACGATCGTCTCTCCATGTGGGGTATACCCCTCTTGGCTAACGACGACCGTGCCGATGTCATCCTCCTCAAGTTCCTCCGTGCCCGTGACTTCAAAGTCCTCGATGCCCTCCACATGCTCCAAAAATGCCTCCAATGGCGCTCCGAGTTCGGCGCCGACAGCATCCTCGATGAAGACCTGGGCTATAAAGAACTCGAGGGCCTTGTCGCGTATATGCAGGGCTACGACAGAGAAGGACACCCTGTTTGTTATAACGCCTATGGGGTTTTCAAAGACAAAGAAATGTACGAAAGGATCTTCGGCGACGACGAGAAACTCAAAAAGTTCCTGAAATGGAGAGTTCAAGTCTTGGAACGAGGGATTCACCTCCTCCATTTCAAGCCCGGCGGTGTTAATTCCTTGATTCAAGTCACCGATCTTAAAGACATGCCCAAACGAGAGCTTCGTGTCGCTTCCAACAAAATCCTCTCGCTATTTCAAGACAATTACCCTGAAATGGTTGCCCGTAAGGTACATTTTAACTTTCTAGATATGAATTTCTTGCACCCATTTGTTCATCTTTTCGTGTTATGATTCGAAATCTGAATCCAACCCATTTTTTCTTTTCAGATTTTCATCAATGTGCCATGGTATTTCAGTATGTTGTACTCCATGTTTAGCCCCTTTTTAACTCAACGAACCAAGAGCAAATTCGTCATCGCCAAAGAAGGAAACGTCGCCGAGACCCTTTTCAAGTCAGTCAATTCACTCCAACCCTCTCTGTTTCTTTGAATCTTTTCCTTTAAATGGGGTTTTCATTTCAACTTTTCCGATCAGGTTCATCAGACCAGAGGACGTGCCAGTCCAGTACGGCGGCCTGAGTCGGCCGAGCGACTTACAGGATGGACCTCCCAAGCCAGCGTCGGAGTTCGCCGTCAAAGGAGGGGAGAAAGTGAACATTCAAATAGAAGGCATTGAGGTTGTTTAATCATCTTCCTCTTCAAAAACCCCATCAAATTTAGCTACTAAGTTCAGAATTAACGAAATTTTATGAAACAGGGAGGTGCCACAATCACATGGGACATTGTGGTGGGAGGTTGGGAATTAGAGTACAGCGCCGAGTTCGTTCCGATCGCCGATGGCAGCTACACCATTGCAGTGGAGAAAACAAGGAAAATTTCAGCTAATGAAGAAGCAATTCACAACTCATTCACTACAAGAGAAGCTGGAAAAATGGTGCTCTCTGTCGACAACACCGCCTCTCGGAGGAAAAAGGTCGCTGCCTACCGTTACATCGTCCGAAAATCAACAGCGATCTAACAATAAACATAACGAAAGAACAAGAACAAGACGAACCAAATCTCCTAATGTTTGACAAGTAAAGTTAGTGTTTTGATATTGATTTTGATTATGTAATGTGTTTATCTGTATTGGGTTTAGTTATAAAATTTAGTTGCTTGTGGTTATGAAGTGTTTGTTAATAGAAGTAAAAGGGAAGAACAGCTTTGATGAGGTGCAGAGCTTTGTTGTTTGTTTGTGCACAGAGGTATAGGGGGAGGGGCATGGCGGTGGGGCGTGGGGTATCGCATTTGGAAGTGTCAGAACAGAGAAAGGAAAGCGTCTAGAAATGGGTTTTTGATTCGATTTGATTTGAATTTATGAAGGATTTTGTGTTTGTTAGGAAGAGAAAGACAAGAGGGAGAGAGTGACAGAGCTCTGAAACTTTTGCTAACAACACATCACAGGAACAAGGGATGGATGGGTTTGGTTTGTGGTCATAAATTAAGAAAAGGATGGTTTGGTTTCATTTTATCCTTAAATATCATGTCCTGTTTCTCAAGGACAAGCTGAATGAATTTATGACTACTTAATGATTTATGTTGGTAAATGAGGGAGACAACATTTGAATTCAAAATCGTTCAGTCTCAGCTTGTATCGTATTATGGCTCGTCTTATTAACTAGTTCGATAGTCAATTGGAGCGAAGATTGAATCATTGATTCTTTAAGTAGGCGTGCTCTGAGCATTGGCCTCTGGGCTCCTCACTCCCCACTCGACCTATCTTGAAACATGGACCAAGGAGTTTGAGACGTGTGCGAGTTAACGGGTGAGGAAACTCGTAAGGCGCTGGTGGGATCCCTTTATGGGTTGCATCACTAACTGACTTTGATCTTTTGTTAAGGGTTTGAGTGTGAGCATGTCTAACATGACTCGAAAGATGGTTTACTATGCCTAAGTGAAGTGATAATCTATTGAGTTAGTTGTCTTTTGATTGATTATAAGATCTCAAATTAGTTAGAGAGTGGAACGAAACATTCTATAAGGGTACAAAAACCTTTCCCTTGTAAATATGTATTTTAAAATTGTTAGGTTAGCAGTGATAAGTAATGGGCTAAAACGAACAATATCTACTAGTAGTGGCTTTAGATTGTTACATTGATATTCGTACTCTCACCTCACCTGTTTAGGTTCGTTGATGCCACGATTTACACATTAACCCAATTAATTTTCATGGGTTGGTAAGCAACTTTGTTTTTCACGGGATGGAAGACGATGGATCATTCATGAAATTGATTTTACTTAAAATCGAGTTGTTTATACCTCGAAATCGAAGCATAGAAATCCTTAATTTGTGTTGGAAAGTGTGAGATTATTTGATGTTGGAAGGGAGGATGCTCCTCCATAAAAACACACAACAAAAAAACAAAACAAAAACAAAAAAGAGATTCTTCATTGAGAGGCAAATAAGACAAAAGAGAATGGTCAATACTTCATTCATTACTCCACCCAATCAAAATAAGCCAAATAAGCCAAATATAATATAATATATATATATGTAATTTCATTAGAATTTAAATTCTATTTTTTTTAATTTTTTTAATTATAGGGAAAAAGAAATGCCAAATGGTATATAAAACAAAAAATAAGACAAATATTTAGTCTAAAAAGATTGAATTTTTAATTCATTTGTAGGGTTAGAAAAGTAATGTCACCATGGGAAGAGACATAATTTTAATTTTGAAACCAAGTTAGTTATTATTGTTATATCCCCGTTTTATAAGTTAAACCATATTTTAAAAATAATTTCTTTAACTTAAAAATAATATATATTTTAAATTACCTTTATTATTTATTATTTATTGGTATATTGATAATTAAAATCACATCCGTTATAAACATTAATTATTAATTAATCTTCGTAATAATCTTAAAAGTAGCGTGAGTTAAAAGTTGGCTTTAATTATATTTTCGAGTTATCTCACCAAAAAATTTATACCAGTGTACCAGCTCAATTTTTTTTTTCAATTTTCCAAAAATTCAACTCAACCAACCTAACCTTAGGTTGAATAATCCAAGTGGTTTTTCGGGTAATAGCTCCAAGCTCAAGCTCAAGCTCAACGATATTGTCTTATTTGTGTTTTCAATTTTCAACATTCTTATGAGCCATAGATAAGTAATGGTTTGTTCTCCTTTCCAATGGACGGGGATCTCGCAATCCACCCATGGAACCCAACATCCACGCTAACACACTGCTACAATCTACCTCTGGGGCTCAACATTCTCGCTTATAGACCGCTCGATTTCTAATTCTGATACCATTTGTAACAGTTCAAATTCACCACTAGCCAATATTACCTTCTTTGAGTTCTCCCTTTCGAGCTTCTCCTCGAGGTTTTAAAACGCATTTGCTAGAGAGAGATTTCTACAACCTTATAAGTAATATTTCGTACTCATCTCTAACCAATATGAGATTATAGTGAGATCCCACCTCGGTCGAGAAGGGAATGTGCAGAAAACAATATTGGCTAACATATCCATGCTACTCCTGTTCTTATGTTCATGGTGCAATTCTTCTCAAGATATATATAACATGTGGTTGAAATTTACATTGATACAACCCAAAAGAAGAAAATAATATACTATAAGGAGATTACAACAACATCACCAACATTGCTCTAAACATTTTGATATAAACAAAACAAAACCAACCAACAAACAAACAAAATAACATAAAAAAAACGTGTTCTTCGTTGTTCTGGGTCCGGTGCAGGGGTAGCAGACACTCATCGAACGCTCAACATGCTTCAACTTCATGACAAGACTTGCCCATTTTCAGATTATGGCTCAAAGCCCTCGAAAATGGCGGAGCCCTCGTCAGTGAATTGCTTCTGCAAATTCCCTGTCCACCACCCTTCAATTCTTCCTCGGAAGAATCTCTGTTCACAGACCCACCTGCTTCTTCTCTTGTTCTATCATTCCCCATTGATTTACAGCTTCTTGAAACTGCAAATTCTGGGTGGCTTCTCACGTTCCGCCGCCCCACGCTCGTCATTGATTTCATCAACATTGGTGGGTTCTTGAAGAACACGCAAATCACTGCACAATCGTCGATCATTGACCCTGGAAATCGTCGTTTCCATTCTCGAACTGCTAGTTTCACTACCAATTTCGCTGCCGTGGATCGGTTCTTTGCTGAAGCAACTATGTTGATTACTTGCTTGTTCGTCAACACATCCCATACCTGCAATTTTGTGATACGTATTGAGAATTAACAATGGCGAAACGATGAACGAGCTTGTTATGTTTTAACTGACCCACCCCATCTGTTGCTAGAACGATGAACTCGTCTTTTCTTGTGAGATTTCTGTAGGAGATTTGAGGGTTTGAGATAACGCCGTAATCTTTTAGGCAAAAATCGCCTAAGGATCTTGACATGGCCAGGCCTGGGTAATCTGCATCTGGTACCCATACTCTGTGTATATCTGGGTCTTCTTTTTCTGCTGTGATTCTGCCATGGCTGTTGTGTATTCTTTCTGCTTCGCCTGATTCGCATTCAAAACATAACAACGTCACAATTTTTTGAAGGGAGTCCCACATTTGATAAGACCAAAGCTATGAGAGTTTAGGCTAGATATTCGTGATTCCTAACATGTATTAGAGTTATGTCATATCAATAGAATCCTCACCTGTCGAAGTAAGAAGTTGTGAGCCTCGAATGTGTTGTCAAAAGTGACTCAAGTGTCAAACAAAGGATATACTTTGTTCGAGGGCTCTAGAGAAAAGAGTCAAGCCTCGATGAAGAGAAGGCGATTCGAAGGCTCCTTAGGCCTCAGTGGAGGCTCTATGGTATACTTTGTTCAAGGGGAGGAGCTAGCTAATTTAGGGGATGATCATGAGTTTATAATAAAGGAATCATCAACCCAAACTCAAAACAAAGCTATGAGAGCTTATGATCAATCCGTGATTCCTAACAAACAAACCATTACAATGGTTGAAAGATAGATTGAATGAATAGATACCCACATGGAATATTTGGTTTGTGATCAACTGTTAATTGGATGGGAATATGTTGATGTTTATCTCCTCTGGTGCAGAGAACCGCCCGGGAGTCACCCAAGTTAGCCACCACCAAATGCTCTCCCTGATCATCAAGAACATCAAGAACATCAAGAACACATCAAGAACTGAAGGGTTTTTCATTTAAATCTTCCAGGAAAGGATTATTCACCTGTTTGATAATGGTCACGGCTGTTGCTCCACTACAGAAACAATCAATAGAAGAATCATAGCCGAGTTCTTGATCAAATTCTTTGAAAGATTCTTCAAAAGCAGCTTCCCATATAGAAACCAATCCATCTTCGGGTTTCGATGGGTGTTTTTTGATTGCTTTAGAGAGCTTCGTGGGTAGCACATCTCGTGCATAACGAGCAACCCTATGACCAGAAGGACCATGACCATCAAAAACTCCACAAAACACCAAATCTTTCTCCCCTGAGAAATCCTGCAAGTTTTCATCCAAATTTCATAAAACATTTTGCAGATCATCCATAACATTCATCAAATTAAGGGCAACAAACAAAACATTGATTGATTCATCTCGTTTACCTCCCAAATCGTCATTGAATCTTGATTGACTCCTTTTCTTCCTCGTTGAGTGAACATTGATGTGAAGGCAGAGGATCCACGGAGTCTAACAGTCTCGCCGTCGTCACCACGTCGGACCTCTTCTCCGACGTCGCCGGCATTGGAATCCCTCTCATCTCTATCATAGGTCATGTAGCCTCCTCCATGGATGTGATCTTTTGTGCAGCAGGCTCCCATTTGTGAGACAACCCCTCCACTAGGGCGATCTCAGAAGGGAAGATGACCCACCAGAAGAGATCAAATACCCACAAATTTTCTGGGAAAGAAAATGCATGAAAGTGAAGAAACAGAGAAGAGGAGGAGGAGAGAGAATGATATTAATGACGAACACAATGGAAAGAGAGAGAGAGAGGGAGAGATAATAAATTGAAAAATGTTGTTGGGATGAGAATGTGGAGTTTCAACAAACAGAATTATATTTAGAAAATGAAGGGTGGTGTTGACATTTGAGGTTTAGTGGGTTTGTTCTTCTTTCATTTCTTATTAAGGTTTGATCCCATAAATTTTTGGTGGATGGTTTGTCAACTGTTTGTTGGAAACCAATATTACATGAAATGGGTTATCTTCCACTTAATTATTCCAGTTTATGACCGTCCAATGGTGCTTAAATAACAATATTGGTTTCTCTGTCACTTGGAATTGTTTGAATTGTTTTAAACTATGATGTGACTTTGATTTAATCACTACATTGTCATCTTATCAACCTCAACCCGCAAGATCGACCTCATTGACACAAACCCGATCTAGAAATAATTGTATCAGTGATGAAACGTGATAGGTTTTCATAAATTTTTTTAACGAATGTTCAATTGAATACACCGTAACGGAAGTTGACAAGTATTCCCTCTTTTGAAATTGAAGGTTAAAATCTCCATATCCCACTAGTTGTATTGTTTGAAGAGTCAAGTTAGGATGGAGAGAAATTTCCACCCCACAACTCACTAATCTCAGAAATTTATACTCTCGCTCATAAGAATACTACCTATAATGTGAGATTTGACATTGATTAGAGAGGAGAACGAGTACCAACGAAGACGCTCGACCTCAAAAGGAGTGGGATTATGAGATCCACATCGGATGGAGAGGGGAACTAATCATTTTTTATAAGGATGTGAAAAGCTCGCATTCAACTTTGCTCAACCAATCAATTATCCATCCAGATTTGGGCGTTGGAAATCAATAGAAAAGGGCAATAGATGCAGGCCAAGCACTATCTGTCATTTCTGGCTGGAGTTGGACTAAACCAAGCTGTTGATACTCAGTCATAACACAGTTGTACAACCGACTAAACCAAGCTGTTCCAGATACACTTCCATGGCTACAACCGAAGGAAAAGACAATGGCAGAAAAAGACATGATTTTCAGTTTCACAGAAGACACAGAGAATGTTATGACACCAACGGGGGGATGGATGTATAAAATCAGCACAACTTATACATTTGCAGCTTAATCTGTAGCGAAAACAATATGAAAGCTTTCTTTTGTGGGAAGAAAAATATGTAAAATGAGATGCAATTTGAAAAGAATGTTTATCCAAAAGAATGTATAGTGTTTGTTGTTACCACCATTGATGAACCAGAACTCCACTCTGTCTGAGAGATGCAAACAAATCTATGCATTCAGAGTATGTTTTCTCATACTTTCTACTCCTTTCCCCAGGGCAACACCTCTGCCATCTATTGTAATGACACTCAAGAAACATCTCATCTATCAGACAAATCGCTCCTGTCTCAAACAGTCTCGGAATCAATTCGAATTCGGTTCCTTCCACGTCCATCTTCAACACCACGAAATCCTTCTCTGATACTGTGTTCTTCAACCAGTTGGCAAAATCAAACCCCTGAATTTGATTCACCTCGCCATTAAAATGGCCCGACGATTGGACGGGTTGAATCCTGCCCATCCCTCGGCTGCCTTTATCTTCCATTTCCTGACCTGGGTCTTTGTTGATCTCAAAAGCCAATGTTTCATTCCTCACCCAAGCAGCATAAGGTAATAGCGTCACCCTTTTCTTTGATCTATACTGTTCGTGAAATGTTTGATCAGCTTCAATGGCATAAACTTCAAAGGTTTTGTTCTGTTTTGGATATTGCTTTTTGAACCAACTCCCAATGCTGGAGCCATAACTCCTGGCTCCAACATCCACATAGACATACTTGTTTTTGAAGCTAATTTCAGCCATTGATGGCAAATACTTGATGTTTTGTATGTTTCTCTTTAAGGTTAACCATGGCTTCAATGGCTCCTCCAATATCAGAGGCTCAGCATTTCGGACTAGAGATAGCTTATACCCAGGAACAGAGCAATTCTTCTTGTAAGAATCTCCATCCAGTTTCTGCAACCTATTTTCCAGAATTCTATACTCTTTCTTCAATACATATTCACGAGTAAAAGGCATCGATGGCAGAAAATTATCTATATCTTTTGATTTAAGAATCTTGCAGCAATTGAATAAATCAACGAATGAATTGAAACTATATGTGTCTTTTGCACTTACATGGACCACCGCAAACCCTTCGGGTTTCAGTATCCGAGCAATCTCCGAAGCAAAATCATAGGGCCGTTGGGAAATATCCAATCGGCCTCCGCCGGAGAACACGAAGTCAAAGGTTTTATCCTCGAACGGAATCCGATGAGCCTCACCCTTAATCACGTGAGGCTTCAACGCCTTCTTGAAAATTCCGACCGAATCCGAAACGCCGATCTCCTTCAACGCCGATACGTCGGCTCCGGCAGGGGTTTCAATGCACAACGCTTTCGAATTCGACGATAAGTAGCCCTCGGTAACTAGATCTTGGAAAACGGAAGAGTAAAACTGGACGGTCTTGATCCAATCTTCACTCGAATACAGATCCGGACGAGGAGGCCCGATGACACGAGAGTCAGTATTGTCCGTAAACAAAGCGGCACTTCCGGCTCGCCCGCCGCCGGCGATCATGAAATTGAAATTTTCGGGCAAAGAGAAGAAACAGAAGTCGCCTATTCTACAGGATTCTCCGGCAATAGTCACAATATAGGCAAATCGACCGAGAATCACAAGAATAGAGAACAGAAGCACTCGAACCAGAAGGTTCCTCAGGGAGGCGAACTTCCCCGACACGGATCCCATATATCCCCCTTAAGCTCTTACTGTACAGAACAAAGAGAACATGAAAACAAAACAAGAATTGGAAAAGATAAGGCAGCGTAATGATTCCAATGAACTGAAGAAGGTTTAGCGTGAGCAGAATCGGGAAGAGGTGTGGTTGGCTCCGATTAGGGTTCCGGCAGAAGTGCCGGCGGCAGCGGCGGCGATGAAAAAATGGGAAATCATGGTGGGCGGGAAGATATTTATAGGAATTGCAGTGGCAAAGAGGCGGTGGTGCTGCTGGTACTGGTTCTGCTCGCTGTGGGGGAAAGGAGGTGAAAATGGAATCAGAGGATCGACGGTGAAGATAATGGATAATGGGAAACCGGTTCAGCCGGTCACCATGTGGATTAGGATGCCGATGGAATGGGAATGGAACATGAAAGCGAAGATGCTTTCGGCTTTAATAATGGAAAATTCCAAAATTGCATTAAAAAATGATTAAATTATAATTAAAAAATCTGATTATAACAAAAATATATATATATATATATAAATAGATTTAAACATTTATTGGAAAATAATTTTTATTATATTTATTAAATATTCTATATTTAGTTACATTTAAAATTGATTCTATATATGTTAAATTAGTATATAACAATTTTAAAGTAATTCTCCATTAATCACTTTGGAATAACTTTTTGATAATCAAGCTTTATATTATTCTAAAATAAATTATTCATTTTTCTAAATAGATTTTTAATTGTTACGGAACCTTCTAGATTGAAAGGAATATTTATGACCCACAAATAATGTGAATTTTTTTAAAATAATTGTTTCGACTATTAATCATCTACATATTTATTTTAATTTTTAATCTTATCAAAAATAATTATTATTTTCCTTACGTTTAAAGTAAATTTAAAAGGGTAATATAATAACTTTTATAGTACATTTTGAGACATTTTCAGTTTAAAAGACATGAATTTACCAAAACATCATATACTCTAAGATATAAAAGGAATAAAATATTACAATGGACTTCGATGACTTAACAAAAATTATATTAGGTCGTATTTTTTAAAGAGTAAAAAAAGATGATAATTTTATAATTAGGTAACAAAATTATGAAATTGATTAGTATTGAAGTAAACACCTTGAGTGGATCCCACAATGCTTGTAATGGATAATTTTGTTAAAAAAAATGTTCCTAAACTACATTCAACTAAGTCGATGAGTATTGAGTTTGCATTACCAATAAAGCGATGAGTATTGAGTTTGCATTACCAATAAAGCGATCTTAAAAATACATGAAAATTGTACACGTATGGTAAGAACTACATGGTTAAATACAAAAAAACGTCTTCATCAACGAATTAAGCACATGGGTTTGATTGAAATAGAGATGGGTTTCCCTTTGCAATAATAATAACACATCAAAATCAAACACAGCTCATTTTGATGAGGAAATGCCAAATTGGAACTCTACAACAACGAACATGATTGGTGATGGGTTGTTGGCCCATTTGGAAGCGGACGACACCATGTTAGTATTGGGGTTAGAAAATAGACGAGAAACATAAGTGAACTTCAATTTTATTTAAAGGGTTTGATTATTTCTGCGCCTTTCTCCTATTATATTACAAGAAAACAAGGAACTACCTATCCTATCCTGTGCCGCTAACTCCAAGGTCTTGTTTTTTCTCATCTTTTCCGGCGCCGAACACCGGCCCGCCTTTCCCGGCGGCGTCTTCCACTTTGTCCTGAAGTTTATCGATCTGGATCATTCCGGCGTCCTCCCGGGAACGGAGATCGGTCCTGGTGCGGTTCTCGCCCCCGGGGACTGACTCGTACGTGGTGGCCGTGAACGAGTCCTTCGGCTGCGCGCCCTGAGCTCCTGACATTGCCAATCACGGAATCAGAATCGGTGTCGGAAAGGGGTGAGTTGATCTGGGAATTGGGAAATGGTGTTATTTATGGTTTGGTTGGGATTTGAAGAAGAGGAGTCGTGGCGGTCATGCAATCGGTGAGAGAGCGGTTGAAGGGCACCACCTGCTCTCAGCTGCACCCCTTCTGCCACCTCCTCTCGGTCGGTCTCTTTCTTGTCTTTTTCAGTTTCGGCTAATGGATAGAGTTTTGTTTTATTAGATTTTTAAGTGTTAATGGGTTGATTGATTTTGTAGGATTCGTTGGGAGGGTAACGAAATATTCTAATAAATGGTGTGAAAATCTCTTTCGATAGAAGCGTTTTAAAATTATGAGGTTAACATTCATATATAACGAACTAAACCAGACAATGTTTGCTATCAATGAACTTTGGACTATTATAAATGGTATTAAAACCAAACACATTGAGCAATATGCAAGCAAGGATGCTTGACCCTCAAGGGGTGGATCGTTAGATCCAACATCGATTGAAAAGGAGAACGAAACATTTCTTAGAAAGGGTGTGGAAATCTCTCCCTAACAGACACGTTTTAGCCATACGACGATACATAACGGGCCAAAGTAAACAATGTTTGCTAGCAGTGGACTTAGACGATTAAA